CATGAAAATCAAATAATCTATCGAGATTTGAAATTAGAAAATGTTCTTGTAGAGATGGATGGTCACATTAAGTTAGCAGATTTTGGTTTAAGCAAAGACGCTATCGATGAGAGAGAAACTACAAGAACTTTCTGTGGTACTCCACTTTATATGGCACCAGAAGTAAGACGAGTTTAATTCCTTCATAAAATTAATTTATTATAAATACTTCACTATAGGTTATAAGTTATGAACCATATAACAACACTGTGGATTGGTGGTCTTATGGTGTTTTATTATACGAAATGCTCTCTGGCCAATCTCCATTTGATGGTGATGATGATACTATTATTTTCAAGAACATTAAAGAGAAAAAAGCGATCTTCCCGAAACACTTCTCGCAAGAAGCAATGGATATTATTACGAGTGTAAGGCAATATGATATTATCATTATTATATCTTTAAATTTCATTAAAATTTTTTTATATTAGTTAGCAAAAAAAATGTATTTTTTAATAATGTCAGAATATTTGTTATTCATTTTATTATTTTGTTAATAAATGATATTTTAATTAATATGTTTACTTGATATATCTTTAGTTCTTAGCTAAAAAGTCTAACAATCGTTTGGGAGGCGGACGATATGCCCGCTCCGAAATAGAAACTCATCCGTTCTTTGCTCCAATTGATTGGGAACAAGCAGCGAATAAGGACATGGAACCACCAATAATACCTATAGTTGTAAGTGAATATTTATTATAAAGGGCACAAAATAAGAACAATGGATTAATATATAGTACTCGTTCAAGTATGTGAACTAATTAAGTACAACATTTCTGCTGACATTTAAGAATTTTTATACTCTTTGGAGTAGTAGCTCTGAAGATTAGTGTTCATTTAATCTAGTTTTTATGTCATCCATTATTCACATTTTCGAGTGTGTACTGTATATTTTATACACATTATATATACAATTGGATTATACACTTAATACTTTTAATATTATTTATTATTATTGTATATTATTTCAGAAACATCGTAAGGATTTGCGTCATTTTGATAAATCTTTCACCGTTGAAAAGCCTGAACTAACACCAACCGATAAATTATTTATGATGAATTTGGATCAAAATGATTTTATTGGATTTTCGTATATGAATCCTGAATTTATAACAATCATTTAAAAATAACTTAGAAACTCGAAATTGTACTAGATTTATCGTTAATCGAATTTAAATAAATAAATTTAATCAATAATAAATTAACATAAATAAGTTTATTAATTTATTTTAATTTTTTAAGTTTCGTAAGATTTAATTTTACGATTAATTTTCTTTTTTAATTTTTTATTCATTTACAAAAATTAGTGTTAAGAAATATTGAATATATATGCAAAGGAGTTCTAAAGTTTCCTTAAGAATCACAACGAGACATTTATTCGCCATTTGTGATTTCTGTTTTTATTATTTTTTTTTAATGGCATCATATATATTAATTGAAGCTAAGTGGTAGAGAGATTCAAATGATAGTAGAAGCCGATTTAAATATTTTTATGATTATAAATTTAATAGTAAAAGCAATATACACTCCCATTTAAATTTTGAGTTGAAAGACAGAGACACATTGTTTATTCTTATAACCATCCAACTGCAGAAACTAATTTTGCAACAACAACGATGTTGTCTTATGTACTACAGAAGATTGTTTGTATGCACAAAACTAATTTTAAATATATAAAGCGAAGTAATAAATTACCCACGGAAAATAAATTATTGAAAGTTACTAATTATTTTTTAGTTTGATTAATTATTATTAAAACAATAATATTTATTAACTTCTAAAATTATTATTTATGTGGAGATTGTATCAATAAAACAGTGCGTTTGTGTAGTAACAAAAATGCTTAAAATTTATTATTAAGTTTTGACTATGGTATATAGAAGATGGAAGATAGAGTTGAATAATCTCAAGACATTTCTAACTCATCAAAGACCGTATAGTAATAATAATAAAACGGTCTTTAGTTAGTGATACTATAGAAGCGATATAATACGATAATAATATATCAAACGATATAATATAATATAATAATCATAATACAATAATATAATAATCATAATCATAATATAATAATATATATTTATAATACTATTTATAAATAGTTTTTATTATATTTGGTTATTGCTATTGTAAATTATAAGCGTTTTTATAATTGGGTTTTATGATCTTTATTTCAATTTCTTTAACACAATGTAAATTATAAACGTTTTTATAATTGGGTTTTGATTTCATTTAATTTATACAATTGAATTTATACAATTTCGGTTATTGATTGTTTAATCACTTTTTTATGTGTACCCGTGTGTTGACACGTTCGCGATCGAAAAACAAGAGACAGAATCAAACCAACGGAGTTTACTTGCAGCCCAAAAAATATAACAATAAAATTTGCTCATCTCGAGCGCAAAAAACAAAAGGCAATAAAACAAGACTTAGAACCGTTGGTTTGATTACATCTTATACAGGGTTAGTTAGATAAATTAATTAACCATATATTAACCATATAAAATATTATATATATATATGAATTATATAATATATTAATTATAATAATTTAATTATACAATATGATTTACAATAGATTAAAATATAATAAATTATAATATATAAATCATATAACACATCAATTAATAATTCTACAGATTCCTACAATATTAACAATTTGACTTTAACCGCTCTAACATCCCGCCCCCCTTGAAAGGATTTTCAATTGGTAATAGTGCGAGTTTGTGGATTGGACGGCGTATTACTCCTTTTGGGGTTTGCACATCAACAACACGAACCAAATTATCTGGACCCCTGATGCAATGCACGATTCGGCCCATCAACCAGCGTAGTGGAGGCATATTGTCTTCATGGATTAGAACCAGAGCCCCCTCGGTGATGTTAGATTGTTCTTCTGTCCATTTGGTGCGTATCTGCAGCTCATTCAGATAGTCTCTAGACCATCTGCGCCAGAAGTGATGTTTGACTGCGGTTATACGAGACCATTTATCAATTAATGAAGCAGCTTCATACTGAGGACTTGGTTCAGATAAAGTTTTGAGCGGCCCACCGATAAGAAAATGTGCTGGCGTTAGCGCTTCATAATCGCTCGGGTCACAAGAATGAGGTGTGATTGGTCGCGAATTTAAGATAGCTTCGATTTCAATCAGTGCTGTTCCAAGCTCCTCAAAGGTGAATCGAGTATTTGATAGTGTTCGATACAGATGGCCTTTCGCGCTTTTTACAGCCGCTTCCCATAGACCTCCAAAGTGAGGTGCTCGGGGCGGTATAAAATTGAAATTTATGAATTGGTTGCTGCAAAAGGTCTGCAGCATCACTTGATTAGACTTCTCGAAAAACATTCTTTTTAACTCTGCTAGTTTGTTGTTAGCCCCAACGAAGTTCGTGGCGTTGTCGCAATAGATGTTTGATGGTAACCCTCGTCTACCGATTAACCTTTTCAGTGCTGCAATAAATGCCTCCGTAGATAAGTCTGACACGGCTTCTAGATGAGCTGCCCTTGTAGACAAACAAACGAACACGGCTATATAGGTCTTATATGGAACCCGTCCCCGAATTCGGAGATACGTTAATATCGGACCGCAAAAATCTACCGCAGTACGCGCGAATGGACGGCTTGGAGTGAGGCGTTCGATTGGGAGATTACCCATCATTTGATTAAGTAGTTTGGGTTTATAACGCACGCAGTGAATACACGAGTGCACGACTCGGCATGCAATTTCTCGAATATTAATTATCCAGAAGTTTAGTCGAGTAAGGGCAATTAGTGCTTTTGCGCCTGCATGATAGTTGCACAAGTGTATATGCCGAACATAAAGTTCCACAAAATAACAGCCCTTCGGCAACAAAATAGGGTGACGTTGGCCTACTGAGATGTCACTCAGCTCGAGGCGACCTCCCACCTTTAGTAATTGATAACCGAATACATTGTCCAGGAAGGGATTTAGATGCTTTAATGTACCTTCGGCTGGGTTCCCTCGTTGTAGGCGTTGTATATCAATTTCGAAGAATTGCTGTTGGATGACCCAAATAATACAGTGCAATGCCTTTTGTAGCTGAATAGGTTGGAGGGTACATTCTCCGTTCTTCAATTTATTCTTGGTTACATGATAAAAACGCTGTACCTGCGCTATTACTCGTAGCATCTTAGTGTATGAACTATATCTTGACAATACCTGTAATACGTAGTTGTCTTCATTTGTGTTAACGAATACAACCTTTCGCGTCTCTTTATTGACTTCTTCCATATCCAGGTTGTGACATTTCAAATGCGGCCAGTATTTATCAGCGAGTAACAAAAATTCCGGCCCCGTAAACCAACAAGACTCTGATAATTGGCGGATGTTACAGCCGCGCGACACAACATCTGCCGGATTGGATTGGGTAGGAACGTGTCTCCATTGCCCATTTGCGGTAATATCTTGAATTTCTGCTACTCGATTGCCAACGAATGCAGACAGGGTTGATGAGTGCTGCTTCAACCAATGTAATACAATCTGTGAATCAGTCCAAAAAAACGTTTCACCCTTAAATTGCGCAAATATTGGTTGGACCTTCTGATACAGTTTGGCAAGAAGTAAGGCACCACAGAGTTCTAGTTTAGGTAGCGACTTCCGCTTTATAGGTGCCACACGGGATTTTGCAGTGAATAGCCTGACCGTCACCTTACCTGATGTGTTTTGTGATCGGAGAAATATACAGCAACCATATGCGCGTATTGAAGCGTCACAGAAACCGTGTACATCAACCTGTTGATAGTTTATGGATAGGCAGTACCTCGGCACCTTAACCGATGAAAGCGTTGTAAGATCTTGAATAAATGTTTTCCAAGCTGAGTGAAGATTTTGAGGGACTGACTCGTCCCAGTCCACACGCAAAAGCCACAATTCTTGCATCATAATTTTGGCTACGAGTATGATCGGTGCTAGTAATCCAAGCGGGTCGAATAATGAAGACGCAAGGGATAAGATGGTGCGTTTTGTTACAATATGACCTGGTTGTGCATTAAACGAAAATAGGAAAACATCTTGCATTTGGTGCCACTTGATGCCTAGAGCGCTGGTGACTGTATCTGTATCAAGATTCAAACTCTTTGTTGTAGTATCGCTGATGAAGTCATGATGGTTTGAATGCCATTTGTCAAGATCGAAGCAACCCTTCTGTAGAATGGCCGTTAACTGATGTCTGATATTGGTGAGTTGATCAATGGAATCTGCTCCACCTAAGAAGTCGTCGACAAAGAACGCTGATTTAATGAGTGCAGCGCCTATTGGGTATTGTGTTTCAAATTTGTCCGCCAAATACTGCAAACTCCTGGTTGCTAGGAAAGGTGCTGATGCAGTACCATAAGTGACTGTATTCAACTCGTAAGTACTAACAGGATCGGACTCCGTATCTCGCCAAAAAATATATTGGAATTTTCGATCTGGTTCATCTATCAGTATCTGTCGGTACATCTTAACAATGTCAGCCGTCAAGGCATATCGGTGCAAACGAAATTGAAGTAGCAACAAATATAACTCCGACTGAATTGTCGGGCCGACCAGTAGAATATCATTTAATGAACGTTGCGAAGTTGTTGAACATGACGCATCAAAAACCACCCTCAGCTTGGTCGAAGTGCTCGACGGTTTTAAAACACAATGATGAGGGATATAATAATGAGGTTCGTTGGTTTTCGGAGTCTCAACACGCGTCATGTGTCCGAGCTCTCGATATTGTTTCATGAATTCTTGATAGTCTTGCTTCAGTGCACGATTAGATGACAATCGCCGTTCTACAGAATAAAAACGGCGCAGGGCGATATTGTGTGTCAAACCAAGACAATCTGGTGAATCTTTGAATGGTAACCGAACGACAATTCTTCCCATCGCATTTTGGTGAACCGTTTCACGATATAATGACTCACACGCAACATGTGCTGGTGACCATGACTTTGAAGCCGATTGCACTTCCTCTATCTTCCACATCATTTCTAATTGATCGGAGACTGTATCTTCAACTGATAATAGGCATTTTGCTGCTGGTGATGCAAATGGCTGACCCTTGTACTTGCCAGATACAATCCATCCTAATAGTGTTTTTTGAAGTACTGGAAAATTTTCACCTAGTTTGATTTGACCGACAGACAAAATATCAAAGAAACTTTCAGCTCCAAGCAAGAGATCAACGCGCTTGGATTTAAAGAATTGCTCATCGGC